TATGGATGGAAGCAGCTTCATTGAGGCTGGACACTGGAAGGCAGGCTATGCAGTGGTAGCCCTGGAAGACCAGGTGATAGAAGCAAAGTCACTCCCACCTGGAACATCGGCCCAGCTGGCAGAGCTAACTGCGCTTACCAGAGCCCTGAGCCTGGCAGAGGGACAGAAGATAAACATTTATACAGATTCTAAGTATGCATTCCTGACTTTACATGCCCATAGAGCCTTATGGAAAGAAAGAGGTTTGCTTACCTCCAGAGGAAACCAGGTGGCCCACCCACAAGCCTTATTGAACCTTCTGGATGCTGTATGGGAGCCTGAGGCAGTGGCAGTTATCCATTGTTATGGACACAAGACTGGACCAGGGGAAGTGGCCAGAGGAAATCGATTGGCAGACAAAGTGGCCAAAGAAGCAGCCCGGGAACTGGCCCCCGCCTTGGTTATTGGAGCACTGGTCCCAGAAGAGATTTTAAGCACTACTGACAAGCCAGCTTATACGAAGCAGGAAAGGGACACTGCAGACGCTCAGGAGTTGACGTTGTCCAACGAAGGATGGTACCTTACCCCTGATGACAGGATATGGATTCCAGAGTCCCTTCCTTGGCAGGTTACTCAGAGATACCATGATTCAACCCACATAGGACCAGATGCTACAACCAAGCAGCTGGAAAAATGCTTCTATATAGCCCACCTCTACCAACTGGCAGCCCAGATCTCCAGGAAATGCCTGCTGTGTCAAAAGAATAATCCCAGAGCCGGACCACTGGCTCCCCCAGGGATTCAGCACAGTGGAACTGCACCTATGGAAGATCTTGTCGTGGACTTTACTGAATTACCCCGTTGTGGACTGCACCGCTACCTGCTGGTGGCAGTGTGCACCTACACCGGATGGGCCGAAGCATGGCCCACAAAGACTGAAAAGGCATTTGAAGTAACCAGGTGCCTGCTTAGGGAAATCATCCCTCGTTATGGACTGCCAAGGTCCATAGGATCTGGCAATGGACCAGCATTTGTTCATGCAGTCCTACAGGGACTGGCAAAAGCGCTCCAGATCAACTGGAAGCTGCATACTGCTTACAGACCCCAGAGTTCTGGAAAAGTAGAGAGAATGAACAGAACTCTAAAGAATCAGCTGTCCAAGCTGACACAGGAGACCGGGTCTAATTGGGTGACCATGTTGCCCTTGGCGTTACTCAGGGTCCGCAGTCTCCCGTCAAAACGGACCCATCTGTCACCCTTTGAAATTGTATTTAGGAGACCGGTCCCATATGTCAGAATATGCAACTGAATAATTAAGTCCAGATATTTTTCCGAGTTTTCTTTTGTCTCGACAGGTGGACCCAGGCTCGCAACCCCTGTGTGTTGGCTGCATCAGTTCGAGCCAGGTGACGAAGCGTAGGTGAAAGACTGGCAGCAAGCCCCCCTACAGCCTTGCTGGAGGAGACCATACACTGTGCTACTTTCTACACCTACTGCTGTGACGGTTGCTGGCATCACCCCGTGGGTCCACCCTACTCAGTAAAGAAAGCCATTTCAAACTGGACAGTTATACCAGATCCAGAGAACTCCCTTCGGCTGATTATCTCCAGGTGCCTGGCAGACGACCGCTCTGCTGATATCACACCGGGAGCTGATATCTCAACGCACAGCTGAAGAATTGGATGGGAGGGGGCACCCGCGGGCAGCGTCCCCAACGTGGAAGCCCGTGCCGGGACTAATCCAGGAAGTCCACCAGGACATTTAATATTTTCATAAGGACTTTTTATGTCCCACAGCCCTGACCCCACTGAGCCATACCGCCCTTACTGGCCTGCTGGCCTCTGCTACGACTGGTTCGTCTTGCCGGTGGTAAGAGATGGCGTGCTCATTGGCTATTGGAAACTGGGGTTTGATGAGGTTACCATATTAAGACACCCCACTACCCCGTTGTGGCTCCTCTTCCACACCACTGTCCAGCACGCGTGGATAGTGCTCATACGGGAAGTTGCAGAGACGGTCGAAATCTATCGAGTTCTGGACCGCTCTTGCTGTTGTGGGAGGGTAATCAACTGTTATCCGGGGGGTAGAGCACTGTACCAACCTCATCTGGCGGACCAGGTTCTAATCTTAATCCAGGCGATAGATGGGACGGAACCTATCTTAATGCAAGTACTGCAGGGGTGGGAGCCTTAACCAGGTGTGCGTTGAAATTGCTAAACAAATACCAGTACGAATTGCCACCCCAGGATTTCAGCTTCCATATGCCCTGGTCAGTAGGGAGGCAGCTCGAGAGTTCAATCTACCCAACAGGGTTGGTAGGAAAGTTGACCCACATAGTGGGAGCATCAGCTCACCGGTAGGCTCTCACCCTTGAGGAAGTTCACCACAATGTTAAATCTTTCCAATTGTCGGCTGTGTATGCACATACCACCTTATGCTAAACGGCCAGGTTTGATGCTACATGGAATTCCCATTGGTAACATCTTCAACATAGAGAGGAGTTTGTGTGCTAGTTCATTTTTATTGCTGCATGTTTATCCCAGATAATAATGTCAGCATTTCGGCCACAATTGACCACATGGAAACAATGATAGCTGAAAACCCGCTAAAAAACTACAGAAGGTGATCCGTGGAATTGGTTATATTCTTGGTTGCCCGATGGTGGATGGGTGGGGAGGATATTTACTATGGTGATAGGTCCAATAATGCTTCTATTGCTTTTCTGCTTCTGTATGCCCTGCTTGATGCAATGTATGCAAAATATGATGGAGAAGATGATGTTTCGCATGATGGGACCTCGCGTGATTGCTTTCATGAGAGATTATAGACCCCTACCCCAGAACGAACCTAAGTATTAGGTTGTTCATAAGAAGAGGAGGGAGTGAAGGGAGAGGGAAGGGTTGCTTTCTATATGCTTTCTGTACCTTGTACCTTGTACCTAAGAAGGATCTTCTATACCTTGGATCTAAGTCAATTTCTGAGCTAGAAATAACTTCACCTGCAAAAAAAAGGCCCCTCGAAGGAATGTAAGATAAGACAGAGGCTGTAAGCTAGAAATAGCCAGACCTGCAGAATAGGCCCCTCGCTTTCTTACTTTAGGAATGCAAGATAAAAAAAAAGGACACATACGGAGGAGACGGGAGGAAGGGATGCAAGACGCCTGTATAGGGAACAATAGGGAGGGCTGTTTAGAGGGCTATAGACATGCTAAAAATAAGTTGAAAACTTTCCAGTTGATTGGGGAAGTTTCTGGAGGGCGTGGGGAGGAGGGAGAGAGCCTACTCAAGGTATAAGAAAGTCTGCAGAGGCGTATTTTCTGGGCAGTCAGTTTTCCAGAATTTATTCTGCTGGCTGTCTCCTGTGCACAGAGAATAAAACTGCTTTCCTCCAAAGAAGGATCTTTCCTGGTGTTTTCTTTTACTCTCTCTCTGGATCTGAGGACGCGGGCCAACGATTCCCTGGCATGGACTAGGCTCAGCCTACAGACCGACCCCTCGAGCATCTTTACCCAGAAGCAAGTCCCACACTGACTTCCCGGAGACTGCCTGCAGGATCACAGCCCTGGAGCCAATAGGCACCTCCCTTGCATAAGAAGCCGACTCGCGAGTAAGCGCACTTGGCGCCTTGCCAAAACAAAACAAAACACAGACTCCCGCGCGCAACGGCTCCGCAACTGGTTCCCCAAGAAGCGAAAAACCGATGGAAAGCAATGCGCCCAAGGAGAATCCCAAGGCTCAAATTCATATCGCCAGCCTGTGTTATTTCGCCGCACGTTTTCTTGCGGTTGCTTGCAAACGCGGGAGCGTGTAAGAGTCGTCGAAGCAGTTGTCCCCCTTCATTCGCGTTTGCAAACAGTCGGCGCCCGCTTTCCTTCCAAAGTCTCTGCAAACGGAGTCCAGTCCCGCCCCACTTTTTTTTAAGTCCGGACAGTGTTGCAAAAACAAATAATTTGCATACTGCAAAAAAATCTTTTTTGCATGCTTAAAGAGGCCTCCTCGGTGTTTTTTCTTTCCAAAACATTGCCGAGGGACTCCTCGCTGTATTTTCTTTCCAACCCTCTCCACCTCCTTTTCTTCAAACTCCCCCCCCCTTTTTTTTTTGCTAAGCTATAGCAGAGAGTTTGCATTAAGAGAGAGCGCCACTGGATGTCTGGACGCGCCGTAGCCGCAAGGACACAGCAAGCACTTTCCTCCTCCAAGCCTCTGCTGCAGCAGCTGGAGAGTTGGGATCGGGACGCGGGCGGGCGGGGGGGGGGAAGGGTAAAGGGAAGGAAAAACAAGGGAGGGGGGAGAGAGAGAGAGCGAGAGAGGAGGATTTACAAATGCAAAGCAGCAGCTGAGGACGCAACAGCAGCTGCTGTTGCCGCTGCCCAGAACAGAAGCCCTGGCAGTCTGGCGACTAAGGCGGGGGGAGGGAGGGAGTGGAGTGGCTGGGTGGGGGGTTGGATTTTTTTTTTATGTATTTTTTTTTCCGGGTTGCGAGCAGCAGACAGCGGCGTCCACGGGGCGCGGAGGCGTCAGTCGTTGCAGCCGCCGCCGCCAGAGTGCTATTGTGTGTGAACTGGGGGGAAGAGAGAGAGAACAAGAAAGAGCGCACAGAGCTAAAGGGGAAAATAGAGAGAGAGACATATGCACACACCAGCATGCACACAGACACACACACTCCCCCATATGCAGGGAAAGTATCGCGAGAGCGCTCTGGCTAACAACCTGCTTCGCAACACACACAGGAGCGCTGCACCGCTGCTGGGTTGCCAGCAACAAGAAACAGCGCGCGGAGCAACCCGGACGGTGGGGAGGCGAGGCGCGCGCACACATACACGCGCGCGCGCATGCACACACATCTGGGGGGGAGAGGCTCGGAGTTTGGGGAGCGGAGTTGTCGGGGTGGGGAAGAGCAAGAGGGAGAGAGCGGCGCACATGCAGATCTCCAGCGGCACCCCTGAGCAACACCCAGCCAGGCTGGTGAGTAAAACGCTTGCTCTGCTCTGCGCGTGTGTTGTGTTGTGGTTGCTGCACTTTCTCCATTGCTTTTAAAGGCCGGGGGGGGGGGAGCCTGCGGCGGTGCTGGTGGGTGCCTCGAGATTTCTCTCCCCCCCCTTCCTCCGCGCACTCCACCTTTCCAAAGCTAAGCAGCCCCCACCCCGCTCTTCCTGGCAGCTTGGATTGCACGCGAATCCGTGCGCTTTGGCCGGGTGCGCTTCGGAGCACAAAGGGGGCCGAGAGCTCAGCGGGTTGGCTTCAAAAAGTTGCAAATAAGTCTGGTGGCGGCGGCGGCTGTGGGGAGAGCAGCCGAAGGAAGGATCTAAGATATATGTGTGTGTGTGTGTGGTTTGCCCCCCCCCCCTTTGACCACCCCCCCCGAAAAAGTTTTCAAACTGCAAGTGCCGAACTTTCAGCTCCTCCGGCTGCTGCGCCCCGCACCTCTCCAAAGGTCAAGCGGTTATGTCCTCCATTTCGAGTAATACGATTTGTTATTTAAGTAACTTTTCCCGGGGTGGTGGTGGGGAGGAGGCAGGGCTAGTGGCGGCGGCAGGATTTTGAAGGAGGGAAGGACTCGCTCAGTTTAAGTTTGAGATTTAATAGATGGCTATAATTGGGGGGGGGGCGGTTGTTGGAACTTTAAAAGGCAGCAAGCTGTGGTTGGCTGGTAGTTAGATTTGAAGTAACATATGGCATTAAAAGGGGCACAGCTGGAGGTTGCATTTCCATCGCAGTGAAGTCAGAGCAGCTGACTTTCCAGCTTGCGGTGTAATTAGCAAACGGAGCACTCCCTCCCATTCGCTCCTCGCTCCTCTCTTCTCTCCCCCCCCCACTCTTTTTTCACACACATACAAGCTTTCTTCCGTTACTGGCTAGCAGAAAACCCCTGATCTTCCCAATCCCTTGGGTGATCACCCACTTGGAAAGGCAAGGAGGGGAAAAAAACAAAACAGAAACCCAAACGAGCTTGAGTTCTTCCATAACTCTTTTTTGGGGGGACGTGGGGGGGGGAGAGAAAGGAGACTGTATTTTCTTTCTCCAAATGAGCCCTTCAACCCCCTGCTCAGCAGCTGTTCAAGGTAAGGTGTCTTAAGAAACTACCTACCAACTTAAAGGAGTCTTACGGCAGTTTGTTTGGGGGAGGTGTAGGTGCCTTTTGCTTTTAATAACTTCCAGGGCAATCTATAGATAGATATGAAATGCTGGTTTTCTGTTTTCTTTTTTTAAGTGGGAAGATTATCTTTTTGTTAAAAAAAAGACTGTGTGTGTATGATTATTCACGAATGAAGGTATTTGCAGGGGGTGGAGGGTGCAAAATGCACTTGTTTTTGTAAAACTGTGTGTACACTTTTAATATATAAAATAGCTACGGGGGGGGGGCGGTGTCCCAAAGTTAAGATTTCCAGGAATGCACAAAAAAGCAAAGTCTCCTCTCCCTTCCTCTAAAGCTGATTGCTGTTAAGACAAAGGTTGGGGGCGTTACTTCCTTTAGAAGCTTTGGTTTACTTAAGAGTCAAGTTTTTCCTGTTTCTGAAGCAGGTGTTCTGGTGTGGGAGGCATCTCACTCTCTCTTTTTAAGCAATTCAAACAGAAATGATAGACGATGAACAGTTGAACTGTTATCTCCAAGGCTCCAGTTTACCCCCCCCCCTCCAGCCACTCTTGTTTGTTTGTTAACAGCTGCTTCAGGAGGCCTGTGGCTTTTATAGTAGCATTCAAGTTTTTCCTGTTTTTGAACAGGTTATGAAGGAAGAATGGAGTTTCCAGACCATAGCCGGCAGTTGCTGCAGTGTCTGAGTCAGCAGCGTCACCAGGGCTTCCTGTGTGACTGCACTGTTTTAGTTGGAGACGCTCAGTTCCGAGCCCACAGAGCGGTCCTCGCCTCTTGCAGCATGTACTTCCATCTTTTCTACAGGGACCAGCTAGACAAAAGGGACATTGTGCATCTGAACAGTGACATCGTCACCGCCCCGGCCTTCGGCTTGCTCCTCGAATTCATGTACCAAGGCAAGCTGGAGTTCAGCAGCCTCCCGGTCGAGGATGTGCTCGCCGCAGCCAGCTATCTACACATGTACGACATTGTGAAAGTCTGCAAGGGCAAGCTGAAAGATAAGGAATTGTGCGTGGACGAGAAGACGAACGGCAGCGGCGGGGCCCATTCGGAGAAGGACGGCCGGGTCCTGGATGACGGAGTACCCTTGGGGCACGGCGAGTTCAGCCCCGGAGAGAAATACAAAATGATTGCTGCAGAATACGAACGTTCTGCTGGAAAGGATAAGGGCAGCAGTTACCCAGGCTGGTCTCCCGATCTTGCCGGCTCCGTGTTAGGCGAGGCAGAATTGGACACCGTGGCAGCTGAAAAAGCAAGGGCGAACGTCAGCAGTTTGGCGGGACCTGTGTCCCAAAGACCTCCTCGCCACCCCTTGGCTTTGAGGGAGGCCGAGTGTGCTTTAGACCTGTCTTTCAAGCCCCTGTCAGGGCGAGATGGCTTCCAGCCTTCCTACATCTTTGGGCAGCTGGCTGCCGACGGGCCACCGCGGCAGGGGAGCGAGCCCTTTGTCAAAGACGAAGAAGAGTCTCTGTCGGACGGGGAAGACGGCGAGGAGAGGGGCCTAGAAAGCCAGGGCTTTGGGAATTCTGGCCAGAGCCTGGCCCTAGGGCTGGGGACCATGTTTGTTGCCAGCAACGGGGACGCTCCCGTGACGCCGGAGGAAGACGTCGACCAGGAGCGGGAGGCGAGTGAGGACGACATGGCCTCTTCCGACGTCTCGTCCTCTGGGGTCGTGGTGCCAACCGGGCACATTTGCATCTGCCCGCTCTGCAGCAAAGTCTTCCCCAGCCCGCACGTCCTGCAGCTCCACCTCAGCTCCCACTTCCGAGACAAGGACGGCTCTCGGACCAGGCTCTCTCCGGACGGGTCGGTGCCCACCTGTACTCTGTGCGGCAAGACCTTCTCCTGCATGTACACGCTGAAGAGGCACGAGAGGACTCACTCCGGGGAGAAGCCGTACACCTGTGGCCAGTGCGGCAAGAGCTTCCAGTACTCCCATAACCTCAGCCGCCACGCAGTAGTGCACACCAGAGAGAAGCCGCACGGCTGCAAGTGGTGCGAGAGACGCTTCACGCAGTCCGGGGATTTGTACAGACACATCCGCAAATTTCATTGTGGCCTTGTAAAGTCGCTGGTGGTTTGAGGGAAGTTGTTGTCTTTTCAAAAGACACCCGTCTGCTCTTCATGCCGGTTCCCTTTGGGCAAATGATACGGGGAAGGAGGGTGGAAAATAATGTAGGTCTACATTTCATTGCCGGGGGGTGGGGGGGGGGAGAGGCAACATTGGTTCTACCCCTCCCACCCTGGCCCACCTTAGGCCAGCAGCGGTGGCGACACTTAACGTTCTGTTGTTGTTTTTCTGTGTGTGGCAGGTAAAATGAATCTTAATCTGTAGATAGCTTAATCCAAAATCCTTTGGATAGAAGCTGATTTAATCCAGTTGATTGGCCTAATTGGTCTGTGCCAAGTGGGTTGTTCTGATGCTACAGGTATGTTTTGCCCTGCTGGTTTTGAGGGTGTGCTCGTGCACCCTCTGCAAGTTTAAAAGGAATTGGAGAGAGAATGAGAGAGGTGTGAACTTTGATCCCAAACGGCAGTTTAGGTAGGACAGAGTGTGCTGCCTATATAGGAGCCGCCTTCTCCCCCCCCCCCCCCCGAAAATAAATTATCGTTCATCTCTCTGTTGCAGGTGCATAAAGTAGGCAGTTTTGGAACGCATTGGCCTGAGTTTCTCTCCCACTCTGGATGTAACTTTTTCGATTCAACCTTTTTAATATGTTCCAGACAAATAGAACTTCAGGCAGTGTGAAAGTGATAGCTGGGACAAAGGCTTGTGCTTCATGGGGACTATCTAGAATCCTTAGACTAACTCGGGTCTGGAATAATAATAATAATAACAACAACAATTTTATTACTTACATGCCACCTATCCGACTGGGTAGCAGAACCACTCTGGGCGGCTCCCAATGTACTAAAAACACAGTAGAACAACAGTGGAAATCAATGTAGGGCCATCCTGCAAAATCTCTTGACTATTACAGAAAAAGTGTTCTGTATTTGGAAACTGGTCCTACTAACTTAAGCTCTCACTTTGCTGCTCTTTTCCCCCCTTCCATTTTTTTTTTTAGGGGGGAGGTTTGCAATTCTAGTGAATGGTGCTGAAATATTTCAACCTGTGGGGCGTCATCTCTCAGGCCTGGTTCACAAATGACCCCAGCGTGGAGTGGGTGTGCCCTATGGCTAGGTGGTCAGCGGGGAAAGGATTTGGAGCTCTTGTGCCTTTAATAGTTGCATGCCTCTGGAATTCCCCCTTCTACCCAACTATTAAAGGTGCAGGAGACCCTCTGCTCCTTTGCATCTTGTTAACCCTACCTGTCGCTCACCTTGTGCAGAACTGTGAATGTAAACCTGGCCTCCATGCAGAGAAGCCATTTTGTGCTACAAAAAAGGAGCAGGCAGGTGTTTGGCTGAGGCCTGCCTGCAAAGGCCTCGATTCATGAAGTTTTGATGTGCCATGAGAAAAGATACTTAGTGAGGTGCAGACATCCTAACTGTGCCACCTTAGTAAAAACCGCATCCCTCTATTAATAAGAGCTCTCCAGTTTTTGCTTCTAACAAAAGCCGCTTTCTTGCAAGTAAATGCCCTCTTGGATCAGGCCTTGAGAAGGCCTTGTTCCCCTTCCTGGGTGCCCATTGGTCAGAGGCACCAATCCACCAAAAGATTCCATCTTCTCCATTCCTTGGTGAATGGCAGGCATGGTTTGTGTAAGGGAGAAAGATGGGGAGCTATTGAGCTTTCCCCATTCTGTGATGGTGGCATCTTCTTGTGAAAGTAGGTAGGGATACCTGAATCTCCACCCATTCCTCTTGCAGTTGCACCTGCCTTCCCTTGGGGCATAAGTTGGGGGTGCTACCTGTGAACCATGCCTCCCCATGTAGCTGCCTCATACACCTGTAGTTTCTCCTACAGCTGTTAGCACATCCTCAGCCAACCTGGCACCCTCCAGATGTTTAGGCCTGCAGTTTCCATCAGCCCTAGACAGGAGTGGTGGTCCGAAACATTGGTGTGCCAGTTTAGCCAAGAGTGCATTATGAGCTGGTACCATTTAACTCCTGCCACGAAGGATGAATTAGCAGTTGCTAATGTTTAGCCCATGCATTTCAGACTTACGGTTAAAGGCATAGGAACAGAACTGGTCGTTCTGTTTTTAATTATTATTATTATTTTCGTGGCTCACTTGTCCCTTTTCCAGTTTTGAGCAGCAAGCTAAGCCGGTGAATGTCCTGCCCTGCACACTGAATTGTTTGTGCGCGTGCAAATGCTCCTGTTGAGTGCACAGAGGCATGTATATTCTTGCGTGCTCTCTCTCTCTCTGCTTTCTCCCTCTCTCTTAGCATGGGGGGTTGGCTCCTTTAAGAGCATCTGCAAGTCAGAAATAGGACACTAATCAGGAAACAGAGCGCCGCTTTTTATTTCTTGCTTTTCTTTTCATCCCTCCACCCTGCGCCCTTGAACTCACCGGGCCTCGCTTGACCCTTGTAGAGAACACATCTGGTCGGAACAGCTGGTGGGGGGAAGCGTGGGGAGAAAGGGTGGGCTCAGATGGGGCCCAGAGGAAGTTGGAATCAGGGGGTCGGAGTAAGGGAAGGTGCCATCACTATCATTTCTTCAAGGGGGGTGGGAATGCTATTTAAGGGTGGTTGGTTTTTTTTGCTGCAGTGTGCAGGCAGTTTGAAGGACCGTTTCTTGAAAAAGAAACGTTCAGCATTTCAAAACTACTAGGATGTCTGCTGTGTTCTGGAGAAGTCTTTTTGTGTGATGCACGTTCTTGTTCCATAGAGTTGGAAATGGCTTACACTCAATTGAGGATTTACACTATGTTAAAAGTTTTAAATCTCCCCAATGTTTTTTTCTTACATTGCTTTTTGTTTTGCTCCTGGTGATATTAACTGTTTGTCTCCGTAGGGTCAGATTTAGCCAAGTTCCACTTGGCCATTCACATGGTTCACTCCAGACAAGCAAAGCTTTGTCGCATTGTTTTGGGAGTGTGGGTTCCTTTTTCCTTTAGTTAAGAGAGATTGAAACGCTGTAGAGTTGGAACAAATCTGGGGTGTTACTTCAACATATTTCTGCCTAATTCCAGAATGTCTTTCTAGTAACGTCATTACATATCAGGTTATGCCTTCTTAAATCCATTCAATGTATATTTTTGCATACGCGAAACTTTGAAAAAAGAAAGAAAAAAGATTGCACTTGAATGTAATTCTGTGGCATTGGCATCTAGTGAATGGGACTGTAGAAGGATTGCCAAGTCAAATTTACGGATGTTTTCGGATTCTCTTAAAGTGAAAACCATCTCATTTGGAATTTTCATGGGTTTTCTTTAATATTATGGAAGCACTGAAATAATTTGCTCTAAAGGGCATGTTATGTTATCCTGCAGAATAAGACAACATAGTCCTGCATTTCTAATTACTGGGATACCACCACCCCTGCCCAGAGGGGACATGACGCCACGGGAGGGGATGAGGTGCTCACCCAAAGCCTTGATTTTTGCCACAAAAGTTCTCACTACTGAAGAGACAACCCTCTGAGATTTAAAAAGAGACTTGCCTCTTCAACTACCAGAACAAATGCATAGCTCTGTGCATGTGGTTTTCTTTCTCCTGTACACATGTCTTCCCTGTTAGTTCCTATCCAATGTATTTAGGAAGTTATGCTATGAAGGAGCAATATTAATATCATTATAGAAACACTATTTGAGGTAGTGTGGTGGTGGAATTGTGAGGGAAGCAACTCCCTTTTCTTCGGATAAAAACTGACGGGTTGCAGTTCCTTTCCTATTCCTCTCTTAAATTACGAGCGCACATATAATGTGAATTTTTACTTCTATTTATAAAACGTCTAAATGGAATTCATTTGTTACTGTACAAATATTCTTGCTAACGTATGTGAGGCATGTCAGAGCAGTACATGCCTGAGATATGTGACTATGGTACTGTGGTCTTACTTCATGTTCCCCCTTCCCCCACCCCCACCCCAAAAAAAACCTTGGATTGGAAATAGCACTGAACAAAACTTTCAAAAATTAAGTTATTTCTTTTCTGTTTTAAACTTTTAAGTTATATAAATATATTTTTCTTCCTCCTGATGATACTTGATACGGTATTTATTAGATTTTTTTTTTAATGGAATGCTTACTTTGAGCTTTTTTTTTCCAGAATAACAGGCTTGAAATCTCTGTGTAAATTTAATTTTATTTCTTTACATGTTTAAGAAGCGAGAACGTGTGAATCGGTGCGTAGAATGTAGGGCTGTTCATTTCCTCATCCCAGTGAGAATTCCAGTGTGCACATGGAATCTTTGTTAACTGCAATAGCCAGCCTGGTGCTTTGCAAAAGTTTTGGACCATTTGCAGTCCTAAACACCTGTCGGCAGAGGTGAGATGCTTCTTCCAAGTGGATCTCCACCTCCTGTTGTAATGAACAGGACAGTGAATGTGCCTAGGTCTCTGGATTGGGGTACATGTTTGATTCTTCCTCCTCCTGGTATTTTTGTAGAAGGATTTTAATTTTGATTTTTTTTAGAAGTGCCATTTGACACCATTGGAGTCTGCTGGTGTATTAGAGGGTTGAAAAGAGTTTGGATCTGAGTGTTGTCTAGGAATCTTGAACTTTTTAGCAAGGGGCATGCATTGGGCTGCAGTGGGGAGGGGATGAAGATGACAGGTGTGCCCACCTTAAATGAATTGTCGAAGCATTGTCTTTTTTATTGTTCTCTCTCCCAACTTTTCTGGGTTGGTGTTTTATTTGTTTTGTTTTTTTTAAAAAAGAAGTTTGCACTTTTGAGATTACTTCTGTTTGTTCTTTGGGTTGTGTTTTTTTTTTTAAGGTTGCAATAGTTCTGAGCATGTTTGTTTGTTTGAAAAAAAGGTTCCTTACTCTACAGGAAAGTACTAAAACCTTGCACATTGAGGTGTCTTCATTATTATGCAGCAGCTGTTCTGCCTTGCAAAGAGCATAATTGGAAAGTCCTTTTCGACTCCCATTCTCGGTTTTGATTTCATCCCGAGTCAGGATTTTACCGCGATAAACTGCTTTACTTAAACAAAACACTGGATTTGTCTTATGCTCCAAACCGATACTGTGAAGAAGAAAAAAAAACGTTTTGAAAGAAGAAGGAAAAGAGAGAAAGATAAATCAGTTATTTTTAATTGCTTTTAATTTTGATGCAGTTCAGAGTCAAATATGTATATTTAAAGACACTAATTTTTTGTGGGAGAGTTTTTTATAGTATACAGTATGTAGAAAAGCTATTGGAATGAGCTATATTTTATATAAAAAAAAGTTCTTTCACTGTTTTATAGTGAACTATTTCCCCCACCCTACCCCCAGTGTTAGGTCTATGCTGTGTTTAGCTTAGGTTCGACAATCGCATATATATACAAAAAAAGGCGTTGACAGTTTTCCCTTCATGTTTAGTTTCCGTGTGGAGTTTTTCTCTCAAGTTTTTTTTTTGCAATTGTGTGTTGATATGTGCTGTTTTAAGAAAAGGAAAAAAAGAAACTGTGACAATCGTGATTAGAACTGCTGTCTTTATTAAATAAAACATGTTAGAGTTACAAAAGAAATCCTTTTCTTCTTGTTCTAAAAATTCATGGCGGAGGAGAAATTATGTTGGAAGGCACTTGGGATTTAACCATTATTCCCCCCCCCCCTTACTTTCCCCACTGAGGATCTATTTCAACTTTGGGTCCCCAGATACTGTCGTACTACAACTCCCATCATCCCTGACCACTGATCCTCCTAGCAAGGGATGATGGGAGTTGTAGTCCAACAAATATCTGGGTACCCTAAGGTTGAAAGAGGCTAATCTATGTGTTTAACCTCCCCTCAAACAATATGTAAAGATGGAGCATTTCACGTATTATGCAGAGGCAAGGCTAGGTTTGTTCCTGAGTATGCACTTTCAAGAACTGAGATGGCTCAGTCGGTAGAGCATGAGACTCTTGAATTGCAAGGTTGTGGATTCGAGTCCCATGTTGGGCAAAAGATTCTTGCACTGCAGGGGGTTGAACTAAATGACCCTCATGGTCCCTTCCAACTCTGATTCTAAGAAGCTAGAGCCACCTGTAGCTCCCTGAATGATACATGTGATTGCAAAATTGCCTCCCTCTCTCATTCTTGATGTATGTGTACAGCTAAAGAGATGGGTGAAGCGATGCCCTTTATCTTGTTCCTGTCTGCAAACAAAACAAACCTTGAACCTTTTGAGTCTGCCTTATTCCTCCATTAAAAAAAATTCACAGTGGTGGTGCCGTTGGTATGAAATCCATCCTGGGTCACATCTGGGGTTGTAATAATCATTTGAAGGCCAATGGCCTTTTGTGTCTCATGGCAGACTTTCCCTCTGTTTACCTGTCTGGTTCAATAGAACGATGCCCTAAATTCCTCCCCTTTGTCAAACGAAATTCCAGCCAAAGTTACATAGCTTCAGTTTCGTTACCTTCAGTGAGTGATTTAATACTGTGGTTACTTTCCTCGGGGCCAGAAGTTTTCACAATAATAAAATTAATATGTAAAGTACAGTGGTACCTCTGGTTACGTACTTAATTCGTTCCGGAGGTCTGTTCTTAACCTGAAACTGTTCTTAACCTGAGGTACCACTTTAGCTAATGGGGCCTTCCGCTGCTGCTGCGCCGCCGGAGCACAATTTCTGTTCTCATCCTGAAGCAAAGTTCTTAACCTGAGGTACTATTTCTGGGTTAGTGGAGTCTGTAACCTGAAGCGTATGTAACCTGAAGCGTATGTAACCCGAGGTACCACTGTAAAATAGAAACAGTTCATAAAATAAATTACAGTTTTAAAGCAAGTAAAAGAAAAAAGAAAAAAAGGTAAAGGACCCCTGGAAGGTTAAGCCCAGCCAAAGGCGACTGGGGCTGCGGCGCTCATCTTGCTTTCAGGCCAAGGAAGCCGGCGTTTGTCCACAGACAGCTTTCCAGGTCATGCGGCCAGCATGACTAAACCACTACTGACGCAACAATGACACCGTGATGGAAATCAGAGCACACAGAAACACTATTTACCTTCCCACCGCAGCGGTGCCTATTTATCTACCTGCACTGGCATGCTTTCAAACTGCTTGGTTGGCAAGAACCGGGACAGAGCAACGGGAGCTCACCCCATCGCGGAGATTCGAACCGCCGGCCTTCCGATCGGCAAGCCCAAGAGGCTCAGTGGTTTAGACCCCAGCGCCACCCACGTCCCTGCACGTAACACCCCATGCCATGCACACACAAACAGGAGTGACCCGATGCCAAACCCACAGCTGGTTATGCTGCAAAGATGTGTAACTGTTGAGAGTTATACCCTGCTATAATAAGTTCCATATTGTTTGTACTGCTGCACATTGAGTGGCCTTTGGAAACAGTTTGTTAGAAGCTACCATTAACATAAAACACAAGGGCGAGGCTCCTAATTTGGCAGTGACCTATAAAGCCCTACCCAACATGGAAGCGGGCTACCTTTCTCCGGTTGAGCCTGTTCATGCACTTGAGATAATCTTCTAAGGCCCCTCTGGCAACACTTTCTGCAGTAGGGAGTTACAGGTAGGTCGCCGTGTTGGTCTGCCGTAGTTGAAACAAAATAAAACAATTCCTTCCAGTAGCACCTTAGAGACCTACTAAGTTTGTTATTGGTATGAGCTCTCATGTGCATGCACACGAAAGCTCATACCAATAACAAACTTCGCTGGTCTCTAAGGTGCTACTGGAAGGAATTTTTAAATTTTGCAGTAGGGAGGACAGTCTTGTCACTCGTGAAGCGCTCTCCACAAGGAACCTTTCCTATGGCCCTCTGTGATGTCAGTTCCATGTTTTAAAAGATGCCTCCGGAAATGCTTTGCAGTCGTTTGCTTTTATTTCCTGCTTTGACACCTTATTGTTGGGGACCTACTGGGAATGTGCGTTGGCCACAAACTTCATCTTGGACCCGGGTTTGCCACCTCAGAAAACAACTTGATTCGCTTTGGGCAGCTTGGGGGAGGGGGCTGCACGGTCCAGGGAAAAGCAAACCTTTGTGCTTCCCTGTTAACTATCGTGGAAATCAAGTGGCTATAACATTGTTTTAAATAACAGTCTCTATAATGTTTCTTCTTGGCAGGATTGGATGAAATTTGCAGGCATGGTATCACTTTGAAGAGGAAGAATACTGCCAAAGCTCAAAAGGGCAGCTACAATGGTTCTCCTGCAAGGACCCCGTTTTCCATTTGGGGGTGATTAAAAAAGTATTCATTTTATCTGCCATGTTTTGTGTGCAACGTGTATGAAAATAACATACCCTTGATAAGAAAGTTGCCAAATTTCAGAAGATGCAAGGTGTATGTTTGCTGCACATTTTGAAAGTTTATTGCAGGGGGTGAGTCTGAAAAGGATTGGCTTCTCTCCCTGTAATTTTGTGGGCAGTAATTTCAGTAAAAAATTAAAAGAGTATGTAGGTTGTAGAGTTTCTTCTAGCGAAGTAACTTGCAGAATTTCAGGAGTATAGTTGCAAGGGCTACGGAGTTACAATGAATGGGGTGGGGGCTGCTTCAGGCTTACGTCCTGCTGAATTGGTGCCAAAAGTCACAGAAACTTGAGCGCAAAGCTGACTTGACAAAGAGTAGATGTTTGGGCACGTGGTACGGAGACAGAAGGAAGTGGATGCCCTGCATTTTCTAAGCAAGCATCACTAACTGAACTAGCACAAAATCAGACAAGAACAAGGGGATAAATTACTTCAGTGTCCCTCCTCCAAAACACTGTGATTGGAGAGCCCTGATGCTCTTGTTTCTTCTGCAAAAGAAAAGAAAAGAAAAGAAAAGAAAAGAAAAGAAAAGAGCGCTATTGGTTACAAAACGAAATATGCACACAAAACCCAGCTACCCTCCCCTCTCCTCCAACCTTGGTATTTTCCTCACAACCTTGGGGGGAAATGTTTCAATATTTTGCAGCCGAACTCTGCAATGATTGATTTGTTTTGGTCCTCACCGCACCCCCCGCCATTCCAAACCGCTCACAATGCTTTGGAAGGCCCCAGGCTCGCTTTGGGGTGATTCAGAGAGAGGCCAGTTTGGCTCGGACAAGTCCCAAACCTCTCTGAATCAGTCAGGGATTCATTTGTATCTAATGCACCCCCCTAATCTTCACTGCTTCTGTTCTTGTAAGCAGCCCCTGGGGAAGCCACTCTGAGGGGCAGGGATAAATGTTTAAAATAAACGATGCCTTCGTTCACCCAGTTCCTTCTTTTTCTTCTCCCACAGGCCTTTCCTGCACATTGTCTTTCCCCTCAGCATTTTTGGCTTCCCCTCAACTGTCTCCACAATTTCCCTCCCTCCCTCCCCCCATTGATCTTTCCCGCCATTTTGAGCATCTTCCTTTCTGAGCCACGTTCTCACAGACTTATGCCCAGGGATGGGCAGATCAAGATCTACTGACAATCTGGAGTTGGTTTGCAAGGATTTCCAACTTCCATTTCTTTCTTTTTTTATCAAGGAAAATAGCAAAATGAGTCCCCCTGCACCTGAGAGTTGTTAAGACACCCAACTGTTTCCCACAGAGAGCCACAATTCCCACAGTTTGCTGGGAAGGAAATTAATTGTTCAACCACTCTGAAAACTGTAGCTCTGTGAGGGGAATCTCCTAACATCTCTCAGCACCCTTAAACTACAGTTTCTTCGGAGGAAGCACAATTCAAAGTGCTTTAAGCATATAACAAGGGTGAGGCCTAAGTCTTTCTCTAGCTGGTGGATTGTGGGGTTTTATTAAATAAACCGAAAACTAAAGCAGACCCCACGATCCTGACGTCTCCTCATCCCTGTCAGAGGCATTACGAATAATTAAATATGGTTTGACTGGGGTCCATTTATAGGGAGATGGGGAAAAGTAGCTAGTAACTTCCTCCACCTGTTCATCCCTCATTCCCTTGGCTTAAACATGAAGTTAAGAACTGTGTCTTTTCCTTGCAGTAGTGAAGGCAGATGGGGCACATAGACCTCTAAAATACATAAAAGGGAACTGGGCAATGTGCAAACGGTTTTTTGCCACTGCTGTGACGCAAGCACCACTTATGTGGTCTGTGGGTGGAGTCTCAGAAACCAGCAGGAAGCTGTGAT